CTTGGGAGGGCCGGGCAGAGGAGTTGCGACAGCAGGCTTAGCAGCCTGGGCTGTTGAAGGCTGTCGGCTGGTAGGAGGGGGGACACTGGACTGGGTCGAGGGAGGGGCAGGAGAAGGAATACCAGCTGGACCAGCTGTGGTGGGAGGAATTCCGGGCTGCTGCTTGGCGCCACGGTGAGAGAAGTTGAAGCCCTGAGCACGCATCTCAGTACCAATACGGCCATCCTGAATCTCGAGAACCAGGTAGCCAAAAGCCGCATCAGCAAGGTTAAAGTTCCACATATTCTTGAAGGCACTCTCGTCGACTTGTCCGAGGGAAGCCTGGCCAGCAACCGGGCCGCCAAAGGGGTTGCCACCAGCAGCGGTGGTTGGCATCTTCTCGACGAGTTGCAGGGCATTCTTCAGAAGATTCTGTTGGGCCTCATTCTGTTGGATGGCAGGCTCCACCTCACTCTTGACGGTCTCCCAAACATCGTTAAAGGAAGCCTTGGAGGCAGCAAGCTTGCCACGGTAATGGTCGAGAGTAGGGTTGACGCTGAACTCATTGTAAGAGCTTCCATATCGGAAGTGGAGTCCGGCAGAGATAGAGAAGTCGGCCTTCAGGGTTACTGAGAGTTGATTCAAGATGCCCTCACGAGCAGGGGACGCATGTGTGATAAAGATGCGGGTTTCGGTAGGATCGTAAACTCGGTGCGCCGTGTCGACAAGCTCACCCATTTGCAGGAGAGTTGTCCACATAGTACCCTGACCACCAGCAATGGTAGTCCGGCCTTCGCCATTGTCAAAAAGCTTGTGCATGACAACAGCACCACCAAGACCAAGTAGTCGCAACTTGACACCGCCAACCTCTAGTAGCATTGATCGAGCCTCGTCGATGATGTGCAGGTTTGGGACCTTGTACTCGCCGGTTCGGAACTTCTCTAGTACTCGGACATCTTCGCAAGCGCCCCAGACGGTATAGACGGGAACATCAAGCTTGACCTCACCGCTGATAAGGAGAGGCAGCTCCGAGAGAGGAAGCTCATTTGGCGGAAATCGGGACTTCACGGGGCCTGGTCCTCCTTGTTGAATAGCCTTCTTTACGGGCTCGGAAATCAGGGGCGAATACTGAGCAACATGCTTAAGCGTCTTCTCGGCGATTCGTTCCAGGGAAGTGTCGTCGTAGAAACCAAAATCACCGGTGTGGATGATATGGTCAGCTCGGGCTTGTTTCGCAAGATCATTGAGTGATCTCAGATTTCCTATATGGTGTTCAGTGTTCGTCCAACTGGGTCGCCCGTAATCACCAACCTCGAACATCGGCAATACACAGAACTCTTAGAGGACCGGTTTGAAGGACACGGCCCTGGTTGGGCAAAAGTGGTGCAGCACCAGTGGGAGGAAGACCACCAGCACCGTTCTGAAAGTAGCCGGGGCCCGGGTTATTGTATGCTCGCGGCTGTTGGGGATGTGTTAGCTAATGTCTTCCTCAAAGTGGTCTACTGCGCAGTCGGGGTGGTCGCATTTTCGTGGAAGTGCATATGAACGTGGAGTTGCGGATCTCGAAGTTGAGGCCATCAAACGGGGCGCAACGGCGGGACAACACGCGAGCGGGGAGAAGGTGGGCTTGGGAATGAGGCAACAAGGAGAATGCGAGAGAGGCAGAAATGGCCACGGGCTATCTGACAAGGTGTTGCAAATAATGCGAGCTTATGCTCGCATGTGGAAAGCCGTGAACAGTGCGAGGGAGATGGGAAAATAGCGGATAATAGAAGGGGCCATGTCATGGGAAGAGCACTCACAGCAGCCATTCTATCAATCAACTGATTCTATGCGCTCGAAGTCGGTCGGAGATTCGCGTGTTCGGATAATCGCGTGGGCGGTGAGAAAGGATGCTCTGATAATGAGATAGAGCTCCCGGAAGAGGATGAATGGGTATCAAAAGAGGTGACGATGTGGAATGGAAGACAGGGAGGCAATCACGGGGAGGTGGATTTTCGTAGCTGTAGCAAGGCTACCTCACAGGTAGAGATAATTTCTAGGTGGCCCCAAGAATCGGGAGTCCAGGCTTTACCCTTTTCGGACTAGCCGCATCAGCTTCACCTCTGACGAGGTGCCTGTCCGCCTCGAGGAGTTATTTGGGCCTAGACCAGGGGAAGCTCATTCAGTGGTGCTCTCTAAACGGTTAATGGTCGGCAATCGTAGAGATGACCGTTTGAGATCGAGTTCCTATCACCGTTTTGCTCTGAAAACTCCTTACCCTGCACAAACAATAACCTCAAGTCTAGGAAAACAGATATCAATAGCGACGAGAAAGACGTCATAGTTTCTCTCATCATTACTTTTAGATAGTAGACTTTCTATAACTTTATCTTGATTCCTTCTAAATATCCCATTTTATTTGAATGTTCCGTAATCATAGCTCTCCATGCAGGTCGCTGATTGTTTAGGTCAAGGCTCCACGAAGACCAAGCATTTATTTTATTACCTATCCTGGCTTGCCTATGCACTGAGCCACTTAGCCAAGTCGATTCATGACATTGACCCTCCATTCCGTCAGGCCATAAAGCCCGTACTCATTTGTCGAATCCAATGGACAGTCCAGCCTGACAATCAGACTCAGCCATACAATCATCTACACTGGGGTTCATACAGAGTGACAATCCTGGCTTATGTTTTAATGTCCATTACCTGAAGCCTGAAATAGCAAGAGAGAGAAAACATCATATTCCTTGTTTATGGCCTGAGGAATAGTCGAAGCGCCAATGCGAGCCTACTATTAACGGTTGAATGGCCTTAGGGAGCGAGAGAACTTCAGGCTTTAGACTAAGGGGCCATAATCACAGGTCTAAAGGCTTGCCAATATATACTGAACCTATCTTGGACTTTGAATCTTTCGGTATAGAGATTGTAAGTTTTGTTGCCTCCCATAGCATTGGTATCTCGCAGTACCTAATAAGGTAAGGGTGTCAAGTACACGAAATCACATTCTACCTACTAGGTATGTATGGGTCTAAGACTATTATCAAGCAACCTTGTGGACAATCACATATGAAGATCATTAAAGAGGCCAGCTTGAGCAAGAAAAACTGTAAGTCACGAAAGTTTGTTAACGGATGTTTCGGTGTTTGATGGTCCTTTGAAGCTCCCTTCAGATGAAGGGGATCTATAATGGTACAGAGTGATGCCTACTTCCGAGTCCACAACCATCCCCGCATGATTCGAGTAGGTACTCCGTATATCTATCTCCCTTCTTGTTCCATACGTAATAACTTCAGCGGGGTAGACTTGTCCCTTGGAGCAATAGTGTTGGAGTTCCAATGCAACTCTATTTACCTTCGATTTGTTACGACTTGAAAATGGACAAATCCCCAACCGAAGCTGCTAAATTATACAAAGAAAAACCCAAGAAATACGACGAAACAGAAGTAAATCATATGGTAGACCACATTTCCACACGAAGATACAGAAAAAGCATGGGTCTCATCTTGGCTCTTGGATATCATAGCTTTGTGCTGATCTGAGACAAGGATAACACCCACATGAGACCGATCATGCGGTCATCAAGCACTCTATCTATAACAGGAAACAAACAACAAATGGACCATGAATTGCTATAGAGAAACGAAACAAGCTTTGAGAAGAGTATGTTAAAGTCACACAGCCATTGGACTGTAGACCAGGGTAAATTATCAGCCTTCAGTTAAGCGGAAAACGAAGTAAGGCAATTATGTCTGAGTATAAATGCTGATACAGTAAAGGCTCTTTGGACATATATAGTAAGTTCGCATTCTTAAGCAACTTCTGTTTTTTCTTTTATTATAAGTTCATAATCATACTCGGCCTAGGCTGGCATATAATAGTAAGCGCCTGGCGAGGCGCTCGGTGATTGTTGATACGGGCAGTTGACTACCTAACCTCCACTACTATAATCGGCGTTACCCTCCCTTCTTTGCGCATTCTGCCTAAGTATCAGGTAGCTGATTTACGTAGGCTTTACCTCTATAATACTGATTGGAAGCCTTCGTCCAGGTTACCTAAGTCTCATTCCTTTGCTATATGATCCTATTCATCCAATAGTGATACGAATAATAGCAGGTCCAGACAATACAGAACACATGAAGCCCAACGCACATGTGCCTCTGTTTCACTGATAGATACCTACCTAATTATAGCTCACGCTAGAAGCTCATTACGTGAAGAATGATCCAAACCAGGGTTCAACCGTGTCATTTGGTATGTGTTGAATGAAATGATGTTCGTGTTGTCTGGAGCAGAAAGCCATGCCACAAGAGACATTCCTACGGGTCAAAACGACCGCGATTATTCGGTCCTGTTACCATGGCACCCCCTCAATGATATTAGCCGCTACGTTATGTGATATTCACCATCCATCACAGCAAGTAGGTTGCCATGCGCACCGCAGATGTGACAAGACCGTTCTTTCGGACATGAGAGACGAAGCCTTTCATTAAATCTGGCAAAGAAGAAAATGAGCCTGTCTGTCGGTTTCATCCTTCGCAAGCAAGGATGGACCCTTTTTCAGGGCTCTTTGCTCCTAGTTTTGATTCGAGGGATTGAAGGGGACATTGACCAGCCCAGCACAGACATTCAGCGAGTTAGAAACTCAAAGCAAGGCTTCATGGCCGCATCCATAATGACTAGGCAACTTGGGTGCCTGACACATGATTTATCAATCATGCACAGCTGTCTGATTAGCACGAATATCTGACAGGAAGCCATGTTGTATGTTTATTCTTAGCAATGGATCCAATATCTTCAAGATACTTTCCGCCCAGAGTTATAGTGTCCATGAATTAGTACCTAGATGTCCAACTCTGTTCCAGCAACTCACTCACACCCTGGGCCTGCGGCACTGAACCACCCCGACGGGCGCCAACTTTAGTGCAAGATAGCGCTGTGATACAGTGGAACAGCGCCTGATGACCCGCTGTAAGCGCCTCCACCACGTGACCTACCTTGACACGTCTCATGCCCTGGTCCAAGTACCGTCACCCTTTGATTGCATGTACCTACCCTTACCAGGGCTACCCAACTTGTATCTCGCCTTGGGCTTTGGACGAACCTCTTCTTTCTGTCTCCCTTGATCTGAGTCTTTGTCTATTTCAAAGAAACAGCCACAACCTCCTACCAGTCCCTCTACGATCATATCACCCGAAACGATTCAAGTAGACGATATCACCCCCACCAAGATACGATACTGGACACTAGGAACCCTTGACGGACGACATACAGATCAGCGGCTCGTCCTTACATCCTCCCCATGCGACAACAGACTTGACGAGAACGCCGTCGCAGGAGGTGACCAAACCTCTCACCCCTTCGAGCCACAGACGTTTCATTCCTTTGCGCCGCTAGTATCGTGGTGCACTAAGGCCCATGATAACGTAGATTCGACATTCAACATCGTTTCAATATACAAGCCGGGATACCGCACACAGGCAATCGTGGGCGTGCAAGCCTCCGTTGAGGCCCACCCAGCCGTCGATGATGGTACGTCAACGTTCACATCCACCGAATGTTTATTTCTCTATACGGAACACGCAATCATGCGCATCGGTATAACTGCGCTCTTTTGTTCATATCGTCCCGACTTTCTCAGGTTGTCGCCACCCATGCTGATCCTAGGTTGTTGTATGTATAGACATCATCTCGACCCCGCGGCGATGTTGGCGGCAGTTTTGCCAGCAGACGCGGCCATTCCAGTCAACTTTCGATTTCTGATCCAAGCCATCATGTCACCGAGGCTATTGGTACCCTGTATGGCGATGAGGACGATTCAGGATCTGAAGGTGGTCGACCATTGAGTGTAAATCGTCCACTGAGCTTCATAGGCGGCCCAACACCTTACCAAGAATCGCTCCCTCGACCACCCCCAGATGATCGATTTTTGTCTGTAGACACACGAAGAGGACTTAAGCGAACCGATTCCGAATCGTCCGCCGGCGAGACATCACCTGTTAATGGCGACCCGACCAAACGCCCTCAACCGCTTTCACAAGGCCAGCGAAGTAACTCATTTGAACAAGGACCAAAATCGCCGCTATCTCCCACGCTTTCACTTCGCGATGTTCAGGCCGACTCGCAATTCTCTCTCACGAACATTGATAATCCGAATGACATCGCCCAGGAGTTGAGTAATTTACAGGCCCTCAGGCGGCTGTCCATGGATGTTGGAAACAACAAGGATCCTGATATGCCACCCATGTCTTTAATGGCTATGCCGACTATAGCACCAAGTGGTGACGACGACGAGAACGACCCTTCAAGACTACTCTGGGTGCCTGCTAGAGTGCATCCGGAGTTGGCTCCTGGCGAGTTTAAATCGTTTCTTGAAAACAGGGTTCATTCGATAAGACGAAGGTCTGGAGACTCTTTTCTATCTGCCGATACCGATACTAGTGAAGGCGACTCGGGAGCTGGGGGCCTAAGAAGAAAGAAGTCCATGCTGTCACGTCAAATAGACAATTCAGGAGACGGCGGTGCTCTCGGTTACGTCGATGGTGCTGAGCGATTAGATCGAAAACGCTCACGGGGCCACAGCCATGAACTCAGTCTGGAAGAACTCGTCAAAGATCCCACGAAAGCCGTTCAGAAATTTGCTCAGGAATCTCAAGTGGCACCCTCTGGACCTGAGAGCAATGCAGACGACATGCCAATTTTACCTGCTGCCCCAGGCATGGGACTGCGGAGGTCAACTCGAACAACATATCGCAAGGGCGGTAGCCTGCGTACTGGACCTCTGGCTCGACGGTCTGGACATAGACAACAACCTAGTGAGGACTCGAAT